AGCGGCGACGACAACGACGACGACGACGATACGACAATGATGACGACGGCGACACGAGCGAGTTGTGTATACCGCCCGCGATACCTCTAACACCGTGCCGACGATCTCGTGCGCGCGGACGGGAAAGGGGGGAGGAGGAGAAAATAATAATCGGTAGGACGCACGACGCGACGAGAACAGACAAACGCGCGAGAGCGGCTTAAAGGAAACTGGATCTCGCCGGAGGAACGTCAACGTTTCGTGCGAACTGGTGACCGGCTATCGCGACGCGCTCTACCGGTGGCGCCACAAAGCGCCTTTTCGTGGCCATCGTTAAGCCATCGTCATGCGCGCGCCGAGTTCCCGTCGAGAGTCATGCTCCGATTGGACCTGTTATTAGGTCGCGCAGCGTGTCGCTTGTTCCTATTGGAAGTTGCAACTTTATTGAATTTTCATGTAACATTAAGGCTCTTGAGTCTATGTTGCCATAGGCTGCGTTCAGCAGAGAAAGCAGATCAGTGAGCGCTCAGTGATTTTTCAATATGATTGGCCTTGCCTTTAGATCTTCGTTGAATGAAGTATAGAAATCAATCATAATAAAGAATCACTGCTGGACGCTCACTGATCTGCTTTCTCTGCTGAATGCAGCCATTGGAATCGTGATACGCGAACAATGATATATATTAAAGTTTCTTGCATGCCATTTAATAAAAAAAATATAAATAAAACAAAATAACAAGATCGCTTTAAAATATTTGTAAAAATGAACATAAGTTATTCTTTTTCTTCCTGACAGTCAGTAAGTAGCCATACAAGGCATGTGAGATGAAGACTTTTTTAGGCAGAAAAAACACACGGTTTAACAACTGTTGACAAATATGCTTTTAAAAATAAAATTCAAAGCTAATTTTACTTTTTAGGATCATGAACATTATTTAGGATCATAACATTAACAACATTATATCAAGATTAAGATCATCGGAACAAATTCCTCTCATCGGTATATTTATTCTATAAAGAAATATATAAAAAATATTTAGATATAATTAACAAAACGATTGTTCATTCAATTTTCATTGAAAATAGTAAAAAATTGCGAGGAGATAATCTAGCGTCAAAAATAGGCTTCAATATGGGAGACAAATTATGTTCAGATAAATACAGAAATCTGTCCAACAATACTACAGTCTCTACTAATGGCGCCAACATAGTACGTAACGCTCCGAATATCACGATCTGCTGCCACTGATTTAGATAAAGCTTTAGTTGCGGATTTTGAAAATCTGAATCCTCAGGCCGGAAATTTGGTTCGAAATCTGCGGTTGCGGCCATGCAGTATCTAAAACAAATACAAGCGCGATCGATTATTCCTACAATAATACTTGAAATATCACATTGAAAAAATTGTACTAAACTGTTGAAATGTTGAAAGAGATTTCGTCACTTTAACATTCTTCACTTGTGTGTGACGTAGGTGGCTGTTTCGTTTAATTAAAATAGTTTCTAGAATGGCTCTATATGCATGAACCTAAAAAGAAATTGTTTAATTTGATAGTAATAAATTTATATAAGTTATAGCATATAATACTCAACTATTAAATCTTCATAATTCCCAGTCATCAGTTTGTCGCAGTAATTCTCAATAGCGTGGCATGCCACTTCTAAGGCTGTATAGGACAATTTATGTTTTGCAAATGACGACAGATATTTACTGAGCGGGTATCCATTTAAAATATCCTTTGTATATCTAAATGCATTTCATTATTTAGTGCGATCGTAATTTCGCAAATATGACGCTTAGAGTTCAGACATAATAAAAGGAATAAAAAAATTAAAAACTAAAAGAGAATTAGGAACAGAAAATTAAATTTCGATATATACTTCAATATACAATCAAGAAATATCAAGGTTTTCTTATTGATCAAAAATAATTTTCTGTCCAAATTTTTTATATTTAATTTCTTATTCCTTATTCCCATCCATTGCATCTAAACTCTTATAGTATCTCACAGACGTACTGCGATGTCAGCTTCATGTAACAGCATCCCACGATGCAAATAAATTTTGTCTCGCATCGAGACGTATAAAGTCTCAGTAACGTGGCTGCGAGATCTCCACATGGATGCAGCCCTACAATGCCAAATCTGAATTTCTCTTCATTCAAATTGAAGTTATCATAGAAAATTTGTTGCATGTCCTCGACTGTCTTTGATTGATCGGAGTTATTATTTTCCAGCCTAATTGATACGTGTTGCGGTACATCTACTATCAAGTCGGGCAAATGTTTAGATAGGGATATTAATAGTTCTTTATCCCGTTTCCTATAATTTTCAAAAAACTAATTTTCGAATAGCAAAAATATTGAAGAGATGATAGGTAATGAATATAGTAAGTTTGTCAAGATTAAAAAAAGAAATAAAGAAGCCGATGATCTAACGGTAAACTACCTGGCCTGCTGTGATAATAATGCATCTTGTTCGATGCATATCACGCGTAGGCCATATTTAAACGCTAAAGATCGGGCTAGATGACCCACGCCCGCTCCCACATCTACAATGCATTTTGTGTTGGACTCTTGCGCGCAATCCGCGCAAATCTGTGTAAAGATAAAAGATTAAGATTAAGATTCCTCTTAGAGGAATTCTAAATATTCGCACCTAAGCTAAATTAATATTTCAAAATTTATATCCGCGCTATCTGTTGTATCTCGTGTTGTTTTTTTATTTTGATATGTTTCAGGAAGAGATTATTATGTTTGTTTAAAGCGGATGTTTGATGAGATGTATCGTGCGGTTCCTTATTTTTATTTTCCAAGACAAAATTTTCCGAATTGCATTCAAACTTCTTTCCTCTGTCACATCGCCAAGCACTCTCATCACTTCGATGATCTCTGTTTAGCTGCAAATATTTTGCAGCTTGTCGGAGTGCGAGCAGTGACAACGGCCATATGCGTGAGCTAAAAGACGAAATACACTGTTAAATTACAGACAATGAGCTCACAAATACATTGCATGGCCAAATTTCTATAATGTACTTGCGTCAGATTCGAGTCTTAGGAAAAAGATCAACGAAATCATCAAAACGAGACTTTAATTCAAAATCAATTAACTCAACTAACAAAATAAATTAGAATTTATAATAAAATTACAATATCTATAATTCGTTTTTAAATATTTACTCATCTAATAATTATAATATATAATAAAATTATATAATAAAAAAATTTTAATATAATTTATAATATAGTTTATTATAAATTATAGTTATTTATATAATAAAAAAAATAAATCATATGGATATTATTTGATAAATTAAAATAATTTTCATCAAATTCCAATCAATTTAAATTTCGACTACTTTGCCATGTCATAAACAAGAATGACATGTAGAAAGTTCTTTGTGATATATCTTTATTCTTCAGTTTTTCCTGAGAAATATAAGTTTCGTAATCCTGAAACCTAGAAAATATGCAACAAACTGAGATGTCTGTATCTATATAATATAAATAATGTTTAAAATAATGAATTATTTTCAGTCATACTCAATTGTTATGGCCACTTGAACATGATTGAAATATGACTTGTTAATTCAGGAATTATTTTACGATTCTATTGGACAGAGAATACGATCAAAATCTTATTACAAATACTTCAAATAGTTTAATTGACCAATCAGAATAAAAATTTTTATCAATTGGCCAATCAAAAAATTGCTTCAAAGCATTTGTAGCATCAAGTGACCACGCCCAGAGATATTTCAATTGCTGCATAATTTACAGATTTCAAGATTACAAAACTATTATGATTTTCAAGGAAAAAATAATAGTTATAGATATAGTTATAGATAGTTATAGATATAGATCGCAAAAAATTTGCAATCTATAATTATGCGCATCATTTCTCGCCTATAAAACATCATTTCTCATTGTAAAACCAATGTGACTACGAGAGAGCAGAGTCTTAATTGTTTATTTTATCAAATAATAATTTTGCTATTTTGTTGAAACAGATAAAATTAATTTTTTGTTATTTATGTGTGATGCACGGAGAAAAAGATCATACAGTTAGAAATTTTGCTCGAAGCAATTCTATCGGTGTTGAATTAATCGCTAATTTGCGCTCATAGTCGTTACTCAATCGGTAAAATAATGCCTCTGGCATTTATCAATCGAGATTAAATCATGCACTTACCATGAGATGTCTCCGGCTAGCCATTTTCCAAACTCCTCGGGTGACACGGTTTGCAGAACGGTCTTCCAATTGTCCGGTAGTCTCTCCCATAGTTGCTCTTGGAAGAAATCCTGCAATGTGATTCGCCAGATTTTGAGGTCGATACGTTGTTCATGAGAAATAAAGTGAAAGATGAAAGACGAAAGACATGTATTGTACTACGTGTGTCCACCACTACACATATGAGAGAGAATGCGGGGCAAAAAAAGCTCGGAATGCTGTGCGACACCGAGGCTATCTTTATTAAATTACGTACCACCACATACGAATCTAACAACCAGCCGTATGTGTCTAATAAGTTGAAGATTCTCTCGATTGTCATTCGAGCCTTCGAGCAAGTCCTGCATGTGCACGTACCGACGAGAGCGGCCATTGTTGTGTCTCGAAGTGGACAGTGTAATCGGAATGGCTTTCTGTGACACGCTGATTGGGCAGGCGATATATTTTTCCTTCTTCATTAAAAATCGTTAAAACTTATGAATTGAATATG